GGCAGAGCCCGCCTACTGACAGACGGTGGTTCCTTCCACCTAAAGGGTAACCCAAGGGGAAAGCAGAAGGCCAGGAAGAAATGGAGGTTCAGGGCCTCATGGACTGGGGAGGAGGACCACCGGGCCCCTGGTTAGTGACGTGCTGCTCCCTTTCCCGGGGGTGGGGGAAAGCACCTGCGGGATCGTAGAACACACTATCAGGGTTGACGGAGGCCTCATAGGGCGGCGGCGGATCATCAGGCTGATCGATGTCTGGGTACTTGTATGCAGTGTAGGGAGGCGGAGGGTCGTGGAAGTGGAACGTGCCGCCTTCCCCGTCGTCAGAAAGGTGTAGTGGCGTGAGGCCGGTGCCGAACCCATCTGGGCCATAATCAAAGCCGGGGATCCTCCGGCCGAGATTGAAGTGGTGCACTGGGCAACCGTAGGGAGAGACAAGCCAACACAGCCATGTCACTCAAAGATGTGCGTCTCAGCCCCCGAGTCCCCCACCCTCTCCCGAGGCTGGACCTGCCACCCCCAGGCCCAAGGGATCAGGCATCCCGACTGTCACACTTGTGTGCCCAGCTGCCTACACGAGCGCCCTGAATCTCTCACCTGGACCCCCTCCTTCAGTGCACGCCTGGCTCTCACCCACGTGTAAGCCATCACTACTTCCTGCCACTTCGGCCACCCCGCCGTCACCACACCCCTCCAGCTGAGGATCTCTGTAGCTGGTCTGATGAGACTGAGGGTCTGGGGAAGGACTGGGCTGCCTCTCAGGGCCGTGAGGCCCCCGAATGCAGCCGGCACGGTCCCTCAGCATTCCGGCCACCTTGAATTGGAGCCCTTGAGCCCTCGGGGTCTGCAACCCCCAAACCGCTGCCCACAGGGACTGGGGGACTGGGTGCTGGGGGCCTGGCTTGCTCACTGAGATCAGGAGCGACTCCCGCCACTCTACTAAGGACACAGGCTGCTCGCTGCAGAGGACTTGGCCTGAGGAAGGCAAGTCACACGGTAAGCTGCCTAACAGGCGCTTGGGGAGTCGGCTGCTCTGCACACTCCGCCCCCGGCAGGTGGCCCACTCATGGTCCAGGCTGCCGGGAAAGGTACCATCCCTGATCCGAACACCCAGCGCCAGCTGTGGGTCGTGCTTCAAGGCCTGGAGGGCCGGGGAGCCTGGGGGCGGCTGGCCTTGAGGGTGCGTCCCTTCCTCCGCACATCCAGGGCCTGATTTCAGGTCCCCGGGACAGTTCCCCTGGTTGCCCAGGTGTATGCTCAGCCCAGGAGCAGGTGAGTGGGTGGGACGGGGACACGCCGGGGCATCCCTATCAACATCCTCTGTCTTCCTTACCCCTTCCCGCTTCCTGTGCCTCCCACCCCACAGGGGACACAGACTGGAGCGGGACCTCCACTGTGGCTGTCACAGGCAGGGCCAGGCACACTCACAGTTGGCTCCAATCAGGGACTCAATGCGTTCCCGCCGCCTCTGGCGAAGCCGGTGGACCATGAAAAGCAGCAGCGACAGGATGAGGAAGGAGGAGATGCAGCTAACGATCAGACGCATCCCACTAGCCATGGAGTCGAACAGGCTGTTGCCATCTGGTACAAGGGGAGGAAGGAAACCGGCTGTTTTCCGAAAAGGAGAGCCTGATCCCCCAGGCGCTTAGTGCTATGGGAAGGCGACAGCCTTTCACACCAAGCGGATATGTGGAAAAGGCAACTTGCTTCCTGATTCCCTGCACTTGACGATCTTAGGAGAGATGGCAGAAATGAAACATCTCAGTGTCATGCATACTGTGATAACACCAAAGGAGAAGCAAATCGTCAGCCAAGAAAAATATTTTACCTTCCAGCCTAGCACTAAGTTCCATGCGATAAGCCCCTTCTGCCTAAGAAGCTTTGTTATGGGCCCCTGTGCCCCCAACCACACAGTAGAAAATCAGGCATATGTGATCAAGCTCCTGGACCCTAGACCAGGGATGCTCACCTGGGCGACTCTGTCACTCCCAGGGAACATTTGACTATGTCTGGAGATACTTTGGGTCACCATCAACCCCTCGAGGGTGCAGGCACTCCTGGCATCTAGTGGGTAAAGGCCAGGGATGCTGCTCAATATCCTGCTGAGCACAAGAAGGGCCCACATCAAGGTGCTCAGCCCCAAATGTTGACAGTGCCCACATGGAGACACCTGCCTTGCCCTGGTGCCCACCAGGGTTTGTTAGGTACCTGCCGTGGAGCTGCTGCAGGGGGAGCACAGATGATCATGGGATGAGGTGTGAGGGAAGAGAACTTGCACTGGCTGAGCGCCAACAATGGGACAGACCTCTCCAGGGGCTCTCACCGAGGTCAGACGGGTCACTTGTGCCAAGCCACAGAAACACAGAACCAGGAAGTGGTCCCGGGAATCCCTGCCTCCACGACCCAGAGGGAAGACCACGGAGACCTCAGTGGGGGGAGAGTGACCGGTAGCCACTGGAAGCAGGACTCCGTGTGGGTGGA